TCTGAACAGTGAATCATGCATGATTATTGCACAACGCTGTCCATATTGCATACCAGAAGTGCAGCGGTAGGTTAAATTAGTTTAAGCTTTGTCAGAAAGGGCAGTGTCAGGCACCCAGAGTCAAGCAGGATGGGGTATGAATTTGTATATATAAAGGCAGTCAGTTCTATGACATTTATAGTTTGATGGAAGTGAGTTTGTGTAGAAATAACCCCGTTAGGGCTGTGGGATGCTTCCTGTTTTCTGTTCCCCTCATGTGGATCTGTGCATTGGATAGCTGTGCCACCATCTCCTGTGTTTTCCTGACTAATCAAGTCCCTTGTTTCTGAATCTGTCTGGGTCATATTAAGAATATGTTGCATCAAAGGGAAAGTAAATCTGAAGTTGCCTAGTGATAAGTGAAGAGTCTATCTCTCGCTGTTACTGGTGGACCTAGGAGGCTAGTTGCACCACAGGTGCCTTCGTGTGAGCCGTCGTTAACAACCTACACCACCAGCCTGCCTTTTAAGAGGCCACGCCCACACCCATTCGACTCCACCCACACACAGCTCTCTCCATGCTCCTGTATGAACAGACTTATTTGTGGCAGTTCAGCTGTCACCATTTCTGCCAGAGGCCTGATATCCACTTTGCACACAGCCCGTCGGCCCACGTTTCACCATCTGGAGTGGTGCGACTTTCACTGCCGGCAACCCGTAGGAGATATGGAAGATACAATGGGAGCGATCAGCCTAGGTACTTCAGCAGCTTTATCTAAGGTAGCCAGGTGTCCTGGTCTGGCCAGGACGGTCCCGATTTCAGGCTATACATCCCAGTGTCTTGAGAAATAATTCTCAAGACTCTCTTGCTTTGTACAATGACAGCTTTCAACCACAGTTGGGCGTTTATACTCCCAGGCTGTGTGGATTAAGCCTTAAGACGTTTCTATCTGTCAATAAAAAAAAAACACGACGGAGATGAGGATGCTGATCCATGCTGTGAATCTCACAGATTAACCATTCTGAAGAGAAAACGCCTTTTTAATCAGGGGCTGGAGCAGGCATCCCCTCAATCCAATACCGAACGATGCTACTGAAGTTTTATCCACTCATTGCAAAAGCATTTATTCGGTTGTATGCAGAGGAAATTCAGTCATTCATGACCATCTGTTCACTTCCAAGCACAAAACATAGCTCGAGGCCACACCAAGTCAGTAAAAGAAGGTAACAAATGAACCAGTTTTTCACAGAAGGGTATAACTCATTGCATGTAATAGTGCATTAACATTCAGTATGGCCCTTTGAAAAGAAACAAAATGCCCTTGGTTTGTCCAAGAAACAATAGTGAATATGTATGCACTATTAAAGGCCTTGGGTTTGTCCATAGTGAATATTTATACATTATGTTTATGCAGTGAGTTTCTCCAAAAAACAGTAGTGAATGTTTATGCCCTATTAAAGACACAGATGTTTAAAGGAACATCACAAATGTTCATGAAGTATGCAATTCAATTTCAAAAAATGTTTAGCAATTTGATGTTGAAGCATAGCCTACGTGTTTATTTGTGTGCATATCCCCTGATCCCTCTCTGATGATGATGAGGATGGGTATTATGCTTGGGCACGAGCTAAGACACATATACACATACACACATGCTACACAAGTGTCCCAGGAACTCTGAAAATCTGTCACCCCAGCTTCAACTCTTCTTGCCACTCCACACCACAGTCCGAGGAATAAAACAAGTTCCTCTGATTGGTGGCTTGAAGCAAAGTTTTGTTTGTACTTGTTTAGAAATGGCCACATGTTATGCATTTTATTTGATACTCGTGAATATTTAGATTGTAGCAAGCTAAGCAAATCTCAACAAAAAAATAATTAAAACCTGTCTTTCAGTTTATTGCACTGTGATGGTAATTGTTAGTCTGGAATGATAGGTTGTTGTAAAAGTTTAACCTACCAACTCTAAAGTATAATTTATCCATTGGTAAAGCCTCATGAAAATTGTAAATGAACTGATGGGGTCCTGTCAAATTGTCATTTGAGTACTGGTCTGGTTATGCCAGGTTAGGTCATTGGTATTTTCAATGGTTTGAATACTGCCTTAAGTACTTGAATCATACTCGGTATTGGCAAGTACACAAATGTAAGTACTCATACTCGGTCTGAAAAAAATGGCATTGATGCAACCCTAGTGACTTCATTAAGTGTTAGATCCACCAAGGGTAATCCTTGGTTCAAGGACTTTTTTACGCCGATGTCCACACAGCATCCCTGCAGTATCAGCTCTTCTTACAAACTGTGTTCTTAGCTGCCAGGCTTCTCTCTCACTCATACGTTCCTATTGTAACAGCAGCGTTCATTGGCCTCTGCCACCTGTGGGCCCTCGGCTGTCCTCAGCTGCAGCGGGTGTGTCACGCTCAGCACATTACTGCCAGTGTACTCCCCTGACGGGTAACAAGCTGAAAGCAAAGGGTGCCCCGGATGCTTACATATGTCAGCTTATGCCATCCCTCTTAAATTCCTCTGAAAACACACAGTGATGGCCCATGAAACGAGAGCCTGATCGACACCATTCTAAGCTCAGTTGTAGATCAAGTTGGGGGAACATTTAGGAACTTACTTCATAAGCTTAGATGTTTCATCATTTTACTGCAAACTCAGGTCCGTAACCCTCACGGGCCATAAAAAAAGACGCAGCACTTTCATATAGATTTATTTGTAAGCATTTACCCTCAGTGCAGAGAAATATTGACAGATCTGAGTGTAAATAGCAGGTGACAGGATGGTGTGGTGAGTAGCAGTATTGCCTTACACCCCCCACGTGGCTGTGTGGGTAGAGTTTGCAGGTTCTCCCTGTCTGTGTTGGTTTCCACCTGCAATCCATGGTCTTGTTATAGACAGACATTGTTTTGAACCAGGCGATGTGCTGGAGATTTGAGATGGCTCGGTTCCACAGTTGCTTTAATAACTGAGGGAAAAAAAACAACTGTGAAAATTCCCTTTGGCACAATGGCTTTAAGAGTTTAAGAAGGAGGAGAACATCGTGATCCAGACTTACGACTTAAACCTGTCATTTCATCTTATAGTGTAATCTTGATTCACCTTTGGAATAATCACATCTGGTGTGCCTCCCCTGATGGCAAACTGTGTAAAGCACTGTGGTTTGTCCAGTGCTAGAACCTCCTGCTGTCCTGGGTTTTTTTGGTCTGTTCTAGCCACTATTTTGGTGAAGAACCTCTTTTCCAGGGGTTTGAGTGTAGGCCTGGTTCAGGGAGCAGAGGTCTATATGAAGATGTATTATGATATGGCGGCCAGACTTTTTGGGTACAGGGAAACACAACATGTCATGGTGAACTTGTGTTCTGCAGTGTCTTGGGTGCCTGGACCCTGAAGCAAGAAGTGTGCATCAAGGATGTAATTTATGATGACTGGTTGGGAATGTGCACCATAGTAACGAAACTGTGGGTGAGGAGACCTTGTACTGCATCCCAAATCCTCTCACAGTGTCCAAGGGCAAGTGACACACGAACCACTTCAAATGTTGACTAGATGCACATCCAGAGGTGCCTTTCTACACAGCTCTGTCATACTGAGCTGTTATTTTTGTATTCATAGGCTTCCTGTTAGCTTTAATGAGTCTGATCATTCTTCTCTGACCTCACTCATAAACAAGAGCTGTATCAGGAACAGAACTACCACAGACTGGATATGTTTTGTTCATCACACCATTGTCTGTAAACTCTAGACACTTGAGTATGTGAATATCCCAGGAGGGAGGCTGCTTCTGAGATGCTGGAGCCACCATGTCTGGCACCGACAATCATGAAACGTTTAAATTCACTTAGATCAGATATCTTATAATGCTTAGCTGCACAATAACAATCTCTTGACCCTGTCTGTGTGCTGAATGTGTTAAGCTACTGACACGTGATTTGCTGTTTGGAGAAGAATGTTGCTTACAAGCATTAACAAGCCGCAGTACCTAATAAAGTGTTAGTGTAGTATATATTGTGGACTGATAAGCATAGGTTGGTCTAAAAAACATCAATACTTTAAAAGCTGATAATGATATCTATGACTAAGCCATAGGCTAAGACTTATCATGAAGATATTTTATCTTGAAAAACTGACTGTTTTGTGAATACTTCCTGAGACCAGCTGTCAACAGGTATTGCACTAGGTATTGAAGTGTACCATTCTGTCAAAAACATAGATAGAAAAAACAGGAAGCACCTGCTTAAATTATGGAGATCAAGAGCAATGTATCTGGGGCCAGAATGGCATTCTGAGATTCATCCTGCTGTACCTTTTCCTTTCTCCAAAGTTATTGCAATGCCATTTTTGAGAGTATAAGATTTTGTAGTCCAGCTTCTTCTTGAAGTCCAAAAACGTGAGATTATGTGCATTGGTATCTCCAAAATTGCACCTAGTGAGAAAGTGTATGGTCTGTATTGGACTGGCATCTTGAACTGCATGTCCCCTGACCCCTTCTGCCTTGGGCTTCAGAGGACAGGCTCCAGGCTCCAGGCTCTTCCATAATAAACTGCATATGCAACTGTAAGCTGTCCATTAGCACATATAAAATGCCAGGTAGTTGAGTACAGAAATATGATATCATTTAACCTTTCTAATGGAAAATATTTAATATTATTACATACAGGGGTATCAGAGGGGCATGGATGGTGAAATTTTGTCAACCAGCCCAGAATTTCTAGCTACACACCCGATTACACAGTATGAGCTTATCCTGCGCTCGGTTTTGTACCTAGAGTCTAAGGCATGTATTACGATGCAATTTTTTGTATATATTTAATAGAATTAATTGTGTCCAGATTTAAAATATTATTTATATATACATTTATAGACGAAAACAGGAGAAGAATGCACACATAAACGTGGAATTTCCTTATCAAACTATACAGAGCACAAGTCATCCCGGGGCTTCTACTTGAGATTCCTTAAGTATATTGCTGCTGTCCGCCGCCAGGGGTCGCGGTGGCAGCGCTGCGGCGAAGGGGGGAGGGGCCCCGGACCGGGATTCGCAGCTTCCCATTCCCAGGCACGGAGACCAAACATGGCGGAGTAAAAGCGGCGATTACGGCGCTTAGACGGAGCAGGCAAATCCCGGGAATCCTGCTCACACTGCGCTGCGAGGGACCAAAGCAAACAGGCCCGCGGTTTATGAAGAAGTGCGGCGGGGCTTGGACGCTCTGCGGCCCGTCCAGGCGATCCTGTTATTCGGGTTGCGTTTTAGCGCCCCGCTCGATCGCCCGTCTTCCTCGGATCATTCCAAACAAGCAGACCCCCACCCACCCACCTAACACTCACTGTTCCCGGGTGTGGAGGCATGGATTGGGGAAGCGAGTAAGACGAGAAAGGGGAGATAATAAGCGCGCTACCGCATCGGAAAGGAATTCTGCAAAGACTGCGCCTCACCCGGAGGAAAGCCTGGTGAGTTTGTTTAACAAAATAATATTCTTGTGTTTTTCTCCAGGCCAGCCTTCTTACTGTACTGCATTAACGAAATCTGTCGTATTCTCCTGGCATAATTAATAAAATCCCCAAGAATATGCACAGGCAGAAGGTGTGTGCGCGCGTGTGTGTGTGTGTGTGTATGTGTATATATATATATATATATATATATATATATATATATATATAAAATATAGAGTGTGTGTGTGTTTAATAGGAAACAATGCACACCTCATGGGTGGTGATTAACGCAGCGCATCGGTGTGACCAGTACCTAACTGGGCGCTATGGGCGCCTGGGTGTGTATCTGTCATCCGTGCGGAACATCATCAGCGCGGCTGCATTACAACAAGCGACTCGCTGAAGTGACCCGATGCCGACACAGTGAGATAAAGCCGAGGATCGGCAGCGAGTGTCCGACGCCTGATGAGGGTCGTTTCGGTTCCGGGTGGAAAATAATGGGTTGCGTGGGGGGAATTACAATATAACAAGTATTTTGACATCGTCCATTTACTCCTTGTTTCAGTTTCACACTGCAGACAAAACACGTGTTTATATCAGCGTTTATCACGAGACAGTATTTACGCGGCCCTTGAAACCTCAATAATTTCTTCAGTAAATTGTGCTTAAATGAATTTTAAGACCAGTTGAGTAAACTTCAGCCTTCCCCCCCTCCCAGTGTGGTGCCCAGAGCTGGTGTTTGTCAGATCTGATAATAATCAGTAAAACAAACACTCGTGCCCACACGAGTCTGAGATGGGGAACCGTAGATCACCCTTGTATGTCTGTGTGCCTGAGATTAGTGCTTTCAGAGATTTCTGTCCACCATCCTCCACCATTTGAACTAGGGAGGAGCTTTTTTTTTGTAAAAGGAACCTGAAATCGTTGCGTAAATGGCCTGTTTAAAGTCTAAGTTTATTATTATTGTTCTTTAGAATAGATAGATAATGTTCCTCCAAAACTGAATCAACTACACCCCCCTACATCTTCTTCTATGAAACTTTTTTGTTCCGCATGTGGTGCTGTCTGCTCCAGGGAAGTGTGTTTTCACCATCAGCTTTGGTGGCGTTTCCCGGAACGCCAAGCATACATTGCCAAGGTGTCAAAGCAGGATTGGCAGACAGCTTGCTCTTGGTGGAATAATGGATTCTAATTAAAGATGTACCTTTCAGTGAGGTAGCTTACCTGAGAGCATTTAGGTACAAACAGCAGTGAAGTTCAGTGTGCAGGCTAATTTACATAGAATCATATGCAAAGCCAGCACATGCATGTGTATAACGTGCTTAAAAGCGCAGTCTGTGAAAGGCAGAAGATCACTGGATGCATTTAGCATTATATGGCTGTGCTTGTTGATGCTTGGATGGATGGAGGGGGTAGGCAGTCCCCTGCCTCTTTCTGTGTGTTTGACCCTAGGCACTGCTCGGGGGTGAGAGTGTAGGAGGTCGGGGGTAGGCATGGCAACGCCGTGGGCGGCCTGGCGTGCGAGTTCGCTAGCGAGCCCCGCGTCCCTCGGCGCCTTCCGCTGATCCGGGTAAATCCGCGTTCTCCGGCTGGGCTCTAAGCGCCTGCTGTCGCCTCTCTCTCTGGGCGTCACATGGCTGTGCGAAATCGACTCAACATTAACTGGGGGGGGGACGACTCAGGAATCAATAAAGCTGAAGGTCCGTGGAGACTGTAGTGGAATGGAGGGTATGCATTCTACCCAGGGAGGGAGGTGTTTACTGTAAGCCACTGGCCCGTCCTGTGACTCTTGAGAGGTTAGTATGTATAAGCTGTGGTTCCGTCATATGAGGATATTGCTGAATAAAAACTGTCCTGCAGTTTACTGATGTAGGCAGGTTATAAACAGACACATTAACTGACTGGATGGACTTGGTGGGGGCGGTTGATTAGCCTTTATGCTGTGGACCGGGATCTTTGAACCATATCATAGACATGTGCACTGTCTCTCCGGTAGGAGTCCAAACATCTTATGTGTACGGGTGATCTCTCCCGTTATTTTCTGTCTTTTCTTCTCTTTCTGCGGTCGGATGGATGCTGGCCCTCGGTAAATACGTTCACGTTCATTAACTAGATGTGCTACAGATGTTGTGGTTAGAGCAGCAAGCCTTGAGCATTATAGTGTTTTTTTAATATCCTGTTATGAAATGAATATGAAGAGAGCATAACTTAGTCTGCCACTAGTCACATGAATAATGAGTAGAGAAAATAGAGATAGCAGTCGTTGACCATGTGCCCAGCGTGGAGATGGGGGTTCTAAATGTGAAATCGACGTTCATTGTGGATGTATGCATCACGTGTTGCGAGATGTGTGTTCTCATGTCGGATTGATTTTACAGGAGAGAGTGTACGCTTACTGGGAGTTTGGGGGATGGGGAGGACGTGACAAAGCATCGCTGGGGATATGAACCACTGCTCGGTCTTGGCAGAGACACAGTGTTGCTTTGTGTTGTTTGTTGCAGTTGCGGCTTATAAATTAGGGTGAATTATAAGGTATGTCGCTGTAGGGAGCCCTTTATGCTGCCAGCAGCCCGGAAGCTGCAGAAGAGGGCTTACCATGAATGAAACGGCGAAGCTGGGGCAGTGGCGATCGTTTGCTGCTTCACTCTTGGTTCTCGCTGTTCCATGATTTCAGTTTTCGAGTGCATTTTGTCCTGATACTTAATCATTGATGGTTTTGATCTCCGGCGCTGTGGAGTAGCCTTGATCTAGCTTTTGGTTTTAATGATCTACGTGTTTCTTTTGGGTAAGCAGACCATGAGGCTGGTTTCGTTTTGTTAAGCTGATGTCTTAAGTTTCTGTGCACGTCGTTCATTTTGCTCTCTGTCGTCGTGGCCCATGTCTGGTTACTGGTCACCACTAGCCGCTAGACCTTCCTAACCAGGGGACGTTACAAGGAATTACTGCCAGACAGTCAATCTAGTCAAACACAAACCTGAAAAACAGCAAAACTGATTTCTTGCCAGAGGTCATTCTGCTAAATTAAGTGTATTTATTGTGCAATTTGCCTTAATATTCTTTGGTGTCTAGTATTATGAAACAAGTGAAGTATAGGTTCTTTTCTCAGTTTTAGTCACTGCTATTCTGTGGTAATGTGACATGTTTATAAGGACAATTTTTACATTTTTGGATGTAACCTGTGTGATGCTGTGAAAAATGCAAAGGTGATGACAGGGTCCGGCTCCGAGTGGATCTGAGAGTGCTGGCTGGGGTAGATCTACCCGCACATGCATTTGCTCTTTAAAATGCAGCCGTAGCAACAAAATGCAGCAGTTATTGTATTTGCAAGAGGAAACCAAATGATTCGTTACTAAAACGGTTTGGGCCTTCCGCTGGCGGTACAGCGATCAATGATCCCACAAAAACAGAGTTCAAAGTAAAAAGTAAGTATACACAACCAAGCTGAATACATATGAAGTTAAAGGAAAAATGCATGGAATACCAAAAGTACTAATAAACATTTTCTTAATCAAGATAATTCTTAGGTGGCTGTAATATTGAACCCAGGACGCCACCAAACAAAAAAATGAGGTACATTGAATATGGTGGGGCCTAAAATACCATCCTGAACAGACTGTCCCAGTTTGAATCAGGCCCCAGTTAAAGGCCATGGTCTACACTATTCAGCGCCTTTACCACCAGTAGGCCTGACATAAGGGCACTTTTCCACTGCACCAGGTACCGTACTTTTGGTACTTTCCCTTTTCCATTGACTTCCGGTTGAGTAACAGTACAAAGGTTCCTGGACCTAAAGTGCCACACCAGCTGGGGTACTTCCTTGGTACTTCGGAACTTTAGGGTGAGACTTTAATCAATTTCTATGTTGATTGTTTATGCAAATAGCCTGCCTCTGAAAGACACTACAACCACAGTCTTGTAAGAAGAACTCAGAAAATGATAAATGAAGTAAAAATATAAAAATAATATTAATGGATGTGTGCACAAATGAAGAGACCCAAGCTTTAATTGCAATGTGGTTGGAAGAAGAGATACAAGAAAACCAGGATAGCATAACAAGAAATAAAGTGTTTTGTATGGTATACTATGACAGCACGGTATTAGAAATGTTCAGATATTGCAATGTAATTTTGTTGTAATAAATATTGGGGTATTTATGAAACAAAAATGGAGTTCAACATAAATTCTCTCAAACCCGTCTATGAAGGATGAAAATGATTATGATTGTCTCGGAGAACGCATGCAGCGCTCATGCAAAAGCAGTGGCGGTAAACTTTGAACTGATTTTTAAACACATACGAGATAATCTTGCAATGGAATAATCATTAAAATGGCAAAACTTTAATTTCCTCTAGATTTTGTTTTCCTCTAACAGAGTAAAAAATGTTTTGGTGAAATTTAAATTCCCTGCTCTGTAATGTCCATTCCGAATTGAAGGTAAGAAAAAGCCTGATCTTAATCTAGCTGACTATCAATGTGAGAATTCCGTGTGCATAACATGCAATGTGCGTATTAATATCGCACATTGTCCAGCCTTGTAATATACCACAGCCATTTTTCAAATTCAGTACAAAATACTTGCCTCGCACCGTGATGTCATTCAGTGGCAGCACCAGTTTTTACACCAGTGGAAAATCAGCACCTTGAAGTACCAAAGGTATGGTACCTGGTGTAGTGAAATAGCGCCCTAAAAGGATTTTCCAGTTGCTAACATCCCCCCCGCACCTCACCCCACCCCACCCCTTCATCTTATCTCCAGCGGAAGTGACGTAATACAGCACTCCGTGATGGTAGTCCCTGGGAATTATCCCCCCACGGTCCCACAGGAAGTGGCTTTCGGTGCTGACGCATTGACTTACTTAAACGTTGCTTTAGGGCAGGACTCTGCCTTACTTTTAAAATAAAGCACCTTACATAGCAGGCTAAATACACATGAATAGCAGCTATTATGATCGTCGTTGTTATAATTATTAAGTAATCTAAAAGCCAGGAGAAACCGGCGGTCTACATTTCAGTCTACTTAAGACATATTTGCTATTCCGTCTCCTTTATTTGCATCAGTATTTCAGTATTTAGGTTATAAATTAGGTCTGACCCCTGATTTTCTTTGCATTTGCGTTGGCATGAATAACATTTAGCCAGCCGTTTAGATTATCTTTATCTTACCATATAGAGTATCCACACAGCTTATGGGCACTGCTGGCTGTTGACAAGCCGTTGCTAAAAAAGCGGGCCTTTAACGGCGGGCGATGGCCACACGGCAGCTCCTCCCTCCACGATCAGGTGGGTCTGCGCCTGCCTTACTGCGGATTGATGTACCGGATTGGTACAGGCTGGGCTGGGATGATGTGAGGCTGCAGCACTGAGCTGTGGGGCCTGCTGAAAAGCTCAATGGACGTGGAGAAAGAAGACACAATGCCGTCTTTTAGAGGAAGACCCAGTGGAGCAAACGTGTCGATAAGGGAGAACTTTATGGATCGCTGGGCAGGGAACGTTTCTTGTCCAGCAGCGTTACAGAAATAACAGGCAAAAAAGGACCCCAAGAACTGTGCCCCCCAAAATAAATAAATAAAATAAAGGTACACTGTGTATAGTACAATGCAAGCAGTAAAAGGAGAGGTAGACAGAACATCTGGAGAGATGAGCCTGTGGCTGAAGATGCTCCTCAACTCTACCAGCTCTTTTTGTGGAGTGGATGGAGGAACTCTATGGTAGACCACATATTGTGAGAGACCACATCACAAAGATCAGTGGCAGCCTTGGCTTCCGTAGGGCTGGAGCGAGCGCATTGCTTCATGAGTGCTTAACGGTAACTCAGGCAGCGCCCATGCGGAAGCTGACGCTCATCCATATCACAAGTCCCACCTGGTTTACGAGCCGTAGGCGCGCGGCTCTGCGCGTGGGCGTGTGCGTGCGTGTTCGCCACCTCCGCTCCGCCGGCATGTCCCGTACATGAAGATTCTGACGACGGCATAACTTATCACGCTCTGCATCGGGGGAGTCTGCATCAGCGTGAATTGCGTTACCATTTATGCGTCAGGCCGATCTTGGCTTTGGACTTATGGCCGGCTACTTGGTGTGTGATGGATCTTCAACTTTGATTTTAACCAACAATTTGTAACAATCGGTCGCCATATTTCAGACTGCATGTTCAGGCTGGTATCATCCGTCTGGGAACTGTGGCAGGGCTCCTCGAACCCGATCGCCCAATTTATTTTCCTGCCATATGCATCCGACTTCTGGGTTGTACCATTTTTCAAAACTAAACTAATTTAGTCTTCATTTTCAACAGCATGGTTGTTGGCAAGAGAGAGAAAAGTTGTCGAACTTATACTGGTCTGTTGGGAGCCAGAATTGGGATTTGGACCTTCTGTTGATGACTGTCAGACTTTTTTCATAGCGGGAAAGTTGTGGGTTTAGGCTGGGATTTGCTGCCCATCTGTCAGCTCAACAGAACTCAAACATACCATACCGGGGGGTGGGGGGCAATCAGACCTTTTAACTGCTAATGCAGCAGGGGTGTGAAACCCATGTGTATTGAGTCGAGGTGGGTTTTGGGTTCAAAATGCCTCCCTTTAAAATAATTAATGGGTAGAATAAAAGTAAATGCTATCCAATAAAAAGCTTTCCATTGCGTAATTACACTTTGTATTGCTCTTCCATATATTGATGTGTGTGCCCCCGCCCTGCACACCCACCTGCATGTCCTTGCACTTGCCACTTGCTGCTGTGTCATGCACTGTACAGAACGGCCGGTGGGAGCTTCTGTGATGCCGGCACTTAGCTCACGTCGCTGGGATTCCACTGCTCCTCCACACATTCCTCTTAAAACCAGCTGTAGGATTAACGGTCCATGTCGGACTATGTTCCTGGGACCGACAATGACATCAAGGTCCCCTGTGGTCCTGTTCTGTCCCATGTAACTAGAGGGGTCTGATCCAGCCTTACGACTATTATGGGGTGGAGGGGAGCACATCATGTATGCCTGCGGGTAATGATAAGCATGTGTAAAATTTATGAGTGGGGTGGGGTGGTGCGGGGGCTCATTGGTTAGGGCTGAACCCCGAAACTCCCATAGTTGTATTCCTGCCCCCTCTGCATGTATGTGGAGTTAGTATGTTCTTCCTGTGTGTGCATCTGGAGTTTTTGTGTTCTCTCTGTGTCTGTGTGTAGAGTTTGGATGTTCTCTCTGTATGTGTGTGTGTGGAGTTTGCGTGTTCTCCCCGTGTCTGGGTCTGGAATTTGCCTGGTGTGTGCGTGTGTGCGTGTCTGTGTGTGTGCGTGTCTGTGTGTGTGTGTGTGTGTGTGTGTGTGTGTCTGTGTGTCTGTGTGTGTGTGTGTGCGTGTGTTTGCATTTCCTCTGGGTGCTCCGGTCTCCTCCCATAGGTATTTGGCATCTCTGAATCGCCCATAGTGTGTAAAGTTATGTTCCCCGCAGTGGGTCAGGATCCCATCCAGACCACCCTTTCCTCATACCCCATATTTCCTGGGACAGCCTCCAGAATCACTGATCCAGTCCCAGATAAGCGGTCATGGAAGACAGACGGCTGGATTTTTGTGCGGTAATGGAGTGAGACGTCTGGTGACCGTCCGCCTGTCTTTGCAGGGTTGATGCAGAGCCTGGGGAACGGATGACCGACTGATGCCTTCGCCGCTTCCCGAGGTACGCCATTCCCCCCTCCATCACACGCCCGGGGCGCCTCCCCTCAGCCCCTCTACCAAGTGTCAGGTGCTTTCTGGAGAGCAGCTGAGATCTCCTCCTTTCCGCCGCTCCGGTCTGCTGGGGGATCTGGAGCAGCCGCTCGTCTTGGCTTCCTCTCCCTTAATGGAAGTTTTGTGTCAGGCTGACTTTCTGCCTTCGTGGCCTCTGTGACCCAGATGTACGTGACGTAATTGGGCTTATTTAGTGGGTCCGGAGAGTGACTTCATGAGGCCGCTGTCACGTTTGCGGCACTTATGTGTTCACGCCCACGTGGCGTCACCGCAAAGAGGACGGACTCTGGCGGAAACCTCCACGCTAGCGGTCATGCTGGGTGTGAGCTTTGATTTCCTGCTCCCTGACCACGCTTCTCCGTTTAGGGCACTATGATGCTGCTTGCTGTGACCCTGGTGGCCTTCAGTGCAGCTCAGGGACCTACCCCTGTCTCAGGTAGGATGATCACATGATCCTCCCGCTTCTCTTAAAGTGTTTGTTTTGTTTCGGGTGAGTTGATGTGTCACATAGATGATCGGGTTACAGTGAGGCGATGGCGTTCACGTTTATGCAAGCGTAGCGGGGTCTCACTGGCTTGCCATTTGCTCCGTCCCACAATTAATCTTGCTATGATGAGTTGCTTGTTAGAATCTCCTGACTGCTTTTCTGCTGCGGGTTCTTTTTTTTAGACAGATTTTCACCCAAGCTTTTGTGTAAACCTGTTGTGCTAGTCCTGCCTGCACTGATAGCTCGTTTACAATACAAGTTACCCACCTGGGAAATTCTACCGTGTAACTGCGTCTTTTGGGGGATTTATTTGGTCAGGAAGCTTTTTATTTCAAGATAGAATATGAGGGCAAATATTCTGCAGTATAGAAATCTTGCACATCAGCATGATGGATTCGTCACAGGAGTGAAACCATAAGCATTCCTCTATGTCTCTTTCCAAGCTGTGCCATCTGTGACCAGCAAGCCCTCCATGGCGTTCACCAGTGTTACCATGGCAACAACATCCACTGGCAGCACCACGCCCACTGGGCCCAATGCAGCCAGAGCAGCCCCCGATGTCGTCACAGCAGGCAATGGCGGGGACCGGCCCCCCCTCACCATCACGACCCCGGTCCTTGGTTCCAAACCCGCCTTGGCGACCGTCGTCATGGCGACCACTGCCCAAGCTCACGATGGCAGTATGGGGAGCGAGAATGGCACCGCTGTGCCACCTGCCCGGACACCAGCACCTGATACATCCACCGAAAGCCCCATGGCTACTGGGCCCCCCACAAAGCCCCCCGCTGGGCACAGCATTGCCCCAACCACCACCTCCGCAGCAGGTACGGTTCTGCTTTCCTCCTGTCTGCAAGTCGCTTCAATTCAATTCATTTTATTCATCCATGTCCTACACGTCCAAATGAAATTATATTTAAGAAGACTGGCTTACTTTATGAAGTCACAGTGTCACCGGGCAGATTTAGATTGTGTGTGTTGTAGCTGTGTAGATTAAAGATGACTGGACGTGTTTGGCTGCTCTCGGTGTCAACACCCTGCCTTTCACAACTAAACGCCTCTGTTAGGCTCTTCCTGATAAAACAGGAAGTGCCGCTTACTTCACTCTGCTCTCAAGGCACCGGGAACAGAGGGGCTGGAAAAGCACTTTGTCCCTAATTTCTGCTGGCCTGAAAAGGTGCACAGCAGGCTTGATGATGGCAGTGTGCCCACAGGTCGTGTTTGACACTGGCGACCTGATGTTCTGGTGCTTGCGCTGTGAGACGAAACCCAAAACGGGAACCTCACATCGACTGAATATCAGTTACTTGAGGCTTCTAGAAATAATCTGGATCGATGAATCTGAATGAATGCTTACCGCTGATGTCATCGTCTTTTCTTTGTCTTTAGATGGATCGGACACAGGTAAGGCAGCAAAATCTTTAGTTTTCCTACTGGTTAGTGGCAGCTAGGTACTGACTCGTACTGGGGAGCCTCCTGCAGTGAGTCAGCGTTTGGGAGTCAGCTTTAGGAGTCAGCGTTCAGTGAATCACACCCATGTTTCTCACTTGGTAAAACTGCTTTTCACACACACAGGGGGCGCTATCGCACTGAAGCCCGAACTGTCGTTTTTATGGGCTTTCTCACATTTGCTCGTGTACTGCCTCTGTCTTTGTGTCCTCCAGTTTACATGTGTTATATAAGCGTTAGTTAGAGCAGTGTTTCCCAATCCGGTCCTCTGGGACTTCGGAGACAGTCCACGTTTCTGCTGCCTACCAGGCCCCTGCCAGACAGTCCACATTTTTGCTCCCTTGGACCGTCTGTGGATCCCTGAGGACTGGATTGGGAAACACTGAGTTTGAGGTTTAGCTGCTCGGTGAAGGTGCGTATCCCTGTGCCTCTAGCCACCTTTACCCTCCCCCTCCCCGCCAAAAGCCTGATTTTTATCCCCCGCTCCCCTGGACCTCTCTTCCCTCTCACTTTGCCTACAGGCGACAGGGCGGTCATCGCAGTGATGGTGGCCTTGTCTTCCCTACTGGTCATCATCTTCATCATCATCGTGCTGTGCATGCTAAGGTGAGGAAGCAACACGGGGGAGGCCATTGCGTGTCGTGTCGTCTGCCCGCAGACGCGCTGCTTGTTTTGTCCGCAGTGCAGCGTGACGCCCGGAGGGAAAGCCATCACGATACCGGGGTCCTGCTCATGTGCCCTCTGGGCTCATGCTGCACACTGTTTGGTACAGGACACACACGCACACACACACGCGCACACACACGCACACACACAATGGGCAGAACCCCCCCCTCCGTGGTATCCTCTGCCTTGTACCCTGTTCTTCCTGCAATTGGCTCCAACCTCATCACTACCTTGGATAAGACATAATGGACAATGGATGGATCTTAGTTGGTTTCTGTTGAGTACAACACTGTGCTAAGTATGAATCAGTCGTGTAATTCGTACGCTGGCAAACGACGTCAGGCAGTAAATGTTCCGTTGCGTGGTGGTTGACTAGCGTTGTCTCTGTGCCAAAACTATGTGGAACCGCTGATGTGCTGAACTCTTGGCAGCCTTTCCGGTGAGCGAATGCGACACTTTCACGCTTTCTGTCATTTTTCTGTGCCATTTGATTGACAGGTTTAAGAAGTACAAGCAGGCCGGGAGCCACTCCAACTCATTCCGGCTGTCCAACGGCAGAGCCGACGACACTGGTATCCTGCACTTTATCTGCGTGTGTCTCTCTCCACCTCCGTCGCCTGCCGTCCTGGCTGGGCCCTTTGTCCTGGTGCCAGTGTCCCCACAGCAGTATCTTTGTGACCCGCCGTCATGCGCTCAAAGGATCAATGCGGAACAGTCTGTTACATAAAAGTCGGCGGCAGAAATCCCCCCTTTATCTTATGTGGCCCCAGTGATGCCGGTGCAGTTCAGCCTATCCGCTCCTTTCTGTTAAAATGGTTTGGTTTGTTTCATCCTTGTGAATTAGTGCAACGTCTTGATTACAGCACTGCTGTTCTAACTGTTGCTATTTTCCGTGTCTGCCTGGAACCCACGCATTTCCTGTGAAGTTTCGGGGGGGTCTATGGCTGTCTCAGGAGTGAGACTCACGTGACTGACTGATTAGTTCCACCTGGGCTTCCCCCCCCCCCTCATATATCGCGTTTAGGTTGACTCTTTCTTTCTCTCTAATGATAAGATATTGTGCTGGAACTTGTGTTAAGTGAGGGGGCATCAGCGTTGTTTGAGATGGCAGCATCCAGTATGCCTTTGTGGAAAATAACAAGCTTGTTAAAGATCTCCTTGTATGTGTTCATCCTAGTGATCAAGCATTTCATTGAGTTTTATTTCCATCTAGTGGTCACTCTGCAGTCTTGCTAGCAATTTGTAGTCTTTGGTTATCTGAGTAAAGTCCAGTGTAGATGCAGCTTGTCCATTTTTGCATAGCCCCGGCGAATGTGCAGTTGTCAGGGTTATTAAGTGTTTTAATAGCATGGCTACTTCACCTCCTTCCTCTGCTTTCCACCCTTTTCCCCCCATCTGCCACTCTCAGAGATGCAGACCATGCCCCTATTGGCCCGCTCCCCAAGCACCAACAGGAAGTACCCGCCCCTTCCCGTCGACAAGCTGGAGGAGGAGATGAACCGTCGCATGGCGGACGACAACAAGCTTTTCCGGGAGGAGTTCAATGTGAGGCCCGGCTCCAAGTCCCCAGGAAGCTGTGTACAGACCCAGCGTATATGTCACTGTGCCATCCTGTCACTCACACCCAATAGAGGCCGACTGCTCTTTTAAAACTCAAGTCAGAACATGGCCTGATATTTTAGGAAGCTTCTCTGCTAACTGATAACCATGTGTCTTGGTGTGTGTTATAGAATAAATATGTAAACATGATTATGAAATCAAATCACTGCAGTCCAGAAGCTTATGGTTACATTTAGTTATAATTCAAGCTGTCACAAAGGCCTGGAGTTGCCCCCTGCTGTCCACTCGTGGGAGCACCGTGCTGCGCTCTGCCAGGCCTACGGTGACGTTTGCACGTCCTTGTCCCTGCAGGCCTTGCCGGTATGCCCCATTCAGGCCACCTGCGACGCAGCGGCCAAGGAGGAGAACAAGGAGAAGAACAGATATGTCAACATCCTGCCTTGTAGGTGCCGCCTGTCCTCTTCCTCCTCCTCGTGTCCCTCCCTCTGTTTTCCCTTTCATTTCCCTTCGCTTTCTTTTCACGCTTAGAATTCTGCGTTTTGTTTGGCCAGATAAACACACCAGCCTACGTTTGGCTGTCTCCCGCCATCGTGTGCTCGAACGAATCGTTGCTGAGCGGCGGCTCACTGGCCAAAGTACCCCCCCCCCCTCAACTTTTGTGCCCCCAGTGACTCCCATGTAGTTTAGCCAGTCCGTTTATTCTTCTGAAAATTGTTTGGTTCATCCTTGTGAATTAGCGAAATGTCTTGATTATAGCACTGCTGTTCTAATTGTTGCGATGTTGTGTGTTTGTGTGGAGTCCACACATTTCATATGAAGTCAGCGGAGCAGCCTATGGCTGTCTCAGGAGAGAGTCACATGACTGACTTCTGCTGATTAGTTCCACCTGGGCTTCTCCCAGCAGAAATGTTCTTTTTTGTTTTCCTAATCAAATGGTATACATGCCGCTTTTCAGACCTGCATTGGTTTTGTTCTGTTTATCTTTGTCACCTTAGGCTTGTTCTCCCCTAGTTTCTCTGAATATTTTTTTTTGCTGCTTTTTCTCTCTTGCCCTCTAGAATGTCTCTGTATTTTCCTGGTTTGCTCTGTGTGTTGTTTGTCCTGTTCCTGCCTGCACCCCATTCCCCCCCGAAGAGGAAAGTCCAGACTCCCATAAGCCCACCCCTTCCTGTGGGGTTCCTGTGTCATGTGATTCTTTTGGCTGTCATGACCGGACAATTCGTATAGAAGCCCCCCCCCGAAATGACAGGACGTGATTTAATTGCGAATTGATTTAATTCCAGCTCACTTCTTTGTAGAATTTTTCCCCTCATTGCTGAAGTTTGTCATCTTTTGGCAGGAATGAAAATAATTACTTCTTATTAGTTTTTTTTTTCTGGATGTAGATGATTTTTTTCCCTGCCTACTGGCGTAGAGTTACCATTGGTGACGCTTTCTCATTCTCGTTAGAAGTACACATAATTTAAGTTTTTTTTTTTTTTTGTTGCTTTCTTTTGCACAGACCGGAGTTACTCTACACAGAACCATACTGCCTCCAAGTGTCTTTTCTGAATTACGCTCTGTGCCACTAGTACTAAACATCTGTTAGTACTATCAGGGCAGCAGCCAAGAGAAACACATCGGGATCTTAATTTATTGCTTCTTGTTTAATGGCATTTCCAGACCAAATCTGCCATACAAAGCCCAAAAGTGTCAGAATTTAAGCTGTACAAATAAGAATACTTAATCCGTCGGCCCAAGTGTTAAGGAGTTAAATCATGCTGGCGGAGTGGAGTTTTATTTACTTTCTCTGGGTGATTTATTCCTTACTCTTCCTCCTCTTTCTAGACGATCACTCCCGAGTTCACCTGTCCCTGCTGGAAGGTGTCCCAGACTCAGACTTCATCAATGCCTCCTACATCAACGTGAGTCCCTCCGGAAATGGGGGGGGGGGTGTGGGGGATGTTTGAGAGAGCTGCTGGGGATGATCTGTGGCAGCTGACTGGTTGTCACAGTGGGCTGCATTCTGTTTTCCCTGTCATTCATCAGCTCACTGCATTAATGTGTGTTTACATTTTTTAAGTGATGAGCAAGTATATCGCTCACAGATACTACTTCTAAGTCCCTCTGGTTGGAATGCCTTTGATCTTTTGGGATATTTGTCCTTAACTACCATGATACCTGCTTTCATACCCCTTGATCTACGCAAAAACCCGATCATTAATAGTCCTTGATTTTCAGTTGATTTACTACTCACCACATTGTGTTAGGCAAAATTTATAACCTTATTCCTGAATAGGCTACAGGTCCTTGGAAAAAAAGATATTTTTTTCTTCCTTAATACCGTCTGGTGGATATGCTGAATTCTGGTTGGGAGGTTATGGGTTTACGCTCCTTCTCAACCGCTGCTTGTTAAGGGATTGCATTTCGAGTATTTATACTGAAAATTAGAGCTTCAAATAACAGGAAAAACAGCCCGAGTGCCAGGTTGACTAAGTAAAGCAAAGAATTATATGTTTTTGAAGCTGGCTTCTTGTTTTGTGGGTTTTGTGCTATGGTTTTTGTTTTACTAAAATTTCTCCGCAAATCTCCACCAATTTGTGTTTGATTCACTTGATGCTGAAGAATGGAATTTGACATCTTAATTTGTGGGTTTTTCCCTATATAATTTCTGTTTTTGAAATTTCAGGACTTTGCCATCAGCCCGTTAGCTCACTTTATTAGAGTGCCTTTTATTTTCTAGATAGATACCTTTTAAACCCAAATGAAATAGCAATTTTAGGCCAACATTACCAATTTGTGTAACTGCCGGAGGCCAGACCACTCTTATTATGCTGCTTTCTGATAGCCTGGTGCCCTTTCAGCTCTCCCTGTCCTCTCTCTTGCTTGTACAGGGATATCAGGAAAAGAACAAGTTCATCGCTGCTCAGGGTAAGTGTGCAGAGCAGCTTACGCTCGGCTCGCCCTCAGATGTGCTAATCCAAAGTGATGTTGCTTCTTTAAGGTTAAAGAGGACAGCACTGTACCATGAATTAAAAATGAGTGTGCATATGATTTATTAATACAAGTGTTTAAGTACATTTGTCTTTTGGGGGAATACATGTCGCAAGCCCAGTTAAACTTGAGGTTTGGCAGAGTCTTCGTTTTGGTTCTTGATGTAACGGAGCAGAGATTACGATTTCTTAGAGTAACATCTATAGCGACATTTTGCAGTTTCACACTTGTGAGTTTATATGACTGAGTGTAGCCTGGAGCTGCAGACTTGCTGTGTTCGAGGCTACCACAGTATTCAGTCTGCTGCATTGTTCAGGTGATGTGGCTTGCTGGTCTACCAGCCATCTGTCTGTCTGTGTTATTTTTTTTTTTGTATTTTAATAATGGTATCTCTGTGGCCCAGGACCAAAAGAGGAGACGGTGAATGACTTCTGGAGGATGATTTGGGAGCAAAACACTGCAACCATCGTCATGGTGACCAACCTGAAGGAGAGGAAGGAAGTAAGCTAAAATGTGTTTTAAGTAAATGAAAGTAAATTTACATACTTAAAAAACTGCAAATGTCCTAAACAAAAACTAGTGCCTCTGTTTACTTTGAAATAATCATGTGAGACAGAAAATAATAATTTTCTCTCTTCTTCTTGGGTAAAGAAAGTAAAATAATGGACAAAATACAGATTTCATTTTTTTTTCTTCTTACTTTTTTTAAAGTCTTATTTTTCCATTATGCAAAAAACAATTTTTTTTAACAGCCAGTATGCCAGCACACTTGCTGGGCTTTTCAGAAACCATGACTTTTTAAGAGTACAGTGTCAGCATTGAGTCTTAATGAATGATGGCAAACATACTTTATCTTCAAATAACCATTTAGCTAACTGTAGTTTGGCTGTGAATAACGGCCCCTCAGATTTTGAGTGACCTGTTGATGGCTAAGCGATACATGGTTTCCTAGCGCTGCTTCTCCATCTCTCCCAGTGTAAATGTGCCCAGTACTGGCCTGACCAGGGCTGCTGGACATACGGAAGCGTCCGGGTCTCCGTGGAGGACGTGACAGTGCTGGTTGACTACACCGTCCGCAAGTTCTGCATCCAGCAGGTGCTGTATGGCCGGACCGGACTCACCACGCTACATCCTGCCCTCTGCCATTCCAGTTTGTAAAGCCACCCCTCCCTCAGTGAGCCAGAGCTAGCCACATAGCGGCTATGCTGTCCGACCTGCCGGTATAAATAACATGCCCCCCCCCTCAGTGAGCCAGAGCTAGCCACATAGCGGCTATGCTGTCCGACCTGCCGGTATAAATAAGATGCCCCCCCCCTCAGTGAGCCAGAGCTAGCCACATAGCGGCTATGCTGTCCGACCTGCCGGTATAAATAAGATGCCCCCCCTCAGTGAGCCAGAGCTAGCCACATAGCGGCTATGTGGTCTTTAACCTACAGACACAGGGGGGGGGTGTGACTCCAGGCTACCTCTGTCCCAGGTGGGAGACGTTTCCGGGAAGAAGTCACAGCGCCCCGTCACTCAGTTCCACTTCACCAGCTGGCCGGATTTCGGGGTGCCTTTCACTCCTATCGGCATGCTGAAGTTCCTGAAGAAGGTGAAGGCCTGCAATCCTCAGTATGCTGGGCCCATCGTGGTCCACTGCAGGTGAGGCCCTGTGGAATGCATGAATTTGAGCACATGTGCAGCTCCTATGTGCCAGAATATAATTTGATTTTTGATTTTTTATGAAATTGATTTTTTTTTAGCCTTATCTGACTTTACATATATGTAATTTTAGCTTTTATTGTTGCTGTTAGCTGTCCGTTTGTGAGCATCGAATGGTCTTTGCATCAATTGAGCTTAATATCGCTGTTGTATGTATTTGTGTGCGTGCATGTGTGTGTGCGTGTGCGTGTGCGTGCACGCGCGTACACAGGTACCTGTGCCCTGCTTGGTTCTGCTTTTTCACTGCTCCTGTAACGCCGTCTTCCCGCCCGCCTGTCTGTCTGTGCCGTGGCTCCGTGTTCTTCAGTGCCGGGGTTGGACGGACCGGGACCTTCATCGTGATCGATGCCATGTTGGACATGATGGCAGCTGAGCGGAAAGTAGACGTCTTTGGATTCGTCACCCGCATTAGGGCCCAGCGCTGCCAGATGGTCCAGACCGACGTGAGTGTTGCACTGGAGTGCAGGTCAAAGGCCATCCCAAACTCAGACCCATAATCCAGTTTGTAGACCACATGCAAGGTTAAGAAACAAACCCTCAGTGAATTTAAAACTCAAGTATCCTCCCATCTGAAGTGGATTTCCCAAACTTATGAACTGTCACATGTGTTTTTCCCTTCCTTCCTATTCTCATCCCTCTGTCCCCCCGCAGATGCAGTACGTCTTTATCTTCCAAGCCCTGCTAGAGCACTACCTGTACGGTGACACGGAGCTGGAGGTCACATCTCTGGAGTCCCACTTGGCCAAGCTGTACGCCCCTTGCCCCAGCGCGGGCTGCGGGGGCATGGAGGCTGAATTTAAGGTCCGTCCTCCTCCTGACATCATTGTCTGTCACTGCTGACGTCTGTGTGTCATCTGGGTCACACAATTTCTTCTCGGGACAGTCGAGTGTAAAGCTGTCACCTATCAGCATCATAATACATCCTGTATTGTGGAAAAGCATGATTAACTAACATCTGAACATGCATCACTAACACCTGAACGCTCTCCTGTCTCGCAGAAGCTCACCTCCGTTAAGATCCAGAATGACAAGATGAGGACGGGGAACCTTCCGGCGAACATGAAGAAGAATCGAGTCCTGCAGATCATCCCATGTGAGTCAGCCAGTGGGCGGGGCCTAGCGGACCTGCTACGTCAGAGCACGCGCGTTTAGGTCAGCACCTCTGCTGACCACATCCCTGCCATCTGCTTCCCCTGCAGACGAGTTCAACCGCGTCATCATCCCCGTGAAGAGAGGTGACGAGAACACAGACTACATCAACGCCTCTTTCATCGATGTACGTGAGCTCCCCCACCTTGGGAATGGCGTGTCGTACACGGACCCCGTTATGGAATTGGGATGTTCGTTTGTCGTTGTTTTTTTTATAGTACTCGGTGTGCACCTTAAAGCTGTTGCTGTCCATTTAACCCAGGAGAGACGAGCTAAACTTTGACCTTGTAGTGTTCAAGTGAGCTTCCATTCCTCATGATTAGACGCCTTCGACCATCACTGGTTCGGGGGCAGCAGCCTTCCACAGATGTTGCATCTTGTATGGTCAAGTGAACATTCCTAGGGCTGAGTTTAATTTCCTCATTTGATTTTTGGATATTCTGGAATAGAAATAATCAATGACATTTTTAAGTGTTCGAATTACAGGTGGCTGCACCGTCGGAGGCGGTGGGGGTTTCAGGCATAAGGGGTGGGAAGCTGTCAAGGTTTGAATGAGTTTCGATCCCCCAGGGCTACAGACAGAAGGACGCCTACATGGCGTGCCAAGGTCCCCTGCCACACACGCTGGAGGACTTCTGGAGGATGATCTGGGAGTGGAGGAGCTGCTCTATCGTGATGCTAACTGAGCTGGAGGAGAGAGGACAGGTAAGAGGAGGATGAGCTGAATTTCGGGCAGACGCGGACTAGTCTCCCTGCTTTTACGAGTGCCGGCCCTCATCCAATCATTGTCCTTGCAGGAGAAGTGCACTCAGTACTGGCCCACTGAGGGCACCCTGGTTTGTGGGGACATGGCGATCGAGCTGAAGCGCGAGGAGGTGTGCGAGAACTACACTGTGAGAGACCTGCTGGTCACCAACAACAGGGTGAGTGCTCAGGCAGGACGTCCCGCGTGGAAGCACACATAGCGCTTCTGCTGACACGCTCCCCCCCCGTCCCCCAGGAGAACCGGTCCCGTGCCGTGAGGCAGTTCCACTTCCACGGCTGGCCGGAGGTGGGCATCCCGGCGGATGGGAAAGGCATGATCAGCATCATTGCAGCCGTCCAGAAGCAGCAGCAGCAGTCGGGAAACCACCCCATCACCGTGCATTGCAGGTACCCCCTGGCGGCGTCGCTGCCGCTGCTGCCTCCCCCTGGTAGGAATGTGGAGAGGCGCCAGCGGGTGCTTCCAGATGCTCTCCTGTTACAGGACCCTTAATAGGGCTCATGCTGTCTTTCGTCTGATCCTGAGCCAGGTCACAGGGGGTCTGGAGCCTGTCCCAGGGGACACTCTGGACTGGGCTGCTTCCTCACATAGACACACATGCTGCATGTTATATGCAGTTTTAGAGATGCTGCTGGGAGAGGAACCTGGGAGAGGAACCTGGGAGTACCCCAGAGGAAATCCATGTGAACATGGGGAAATTCCACACAGACAGAGCAGAGGCAGGGTTCGAACCCCCAGCCATGCACGTGTGAGGCGGCAGTTCTGCCCCCTGAGCCCTGTACCTTAGAGCTACTAGTTTATTCTTACATGTTGACCTCATGTGTTTGCTAGTGCCGGGGCGGGCAGAACCGGAACCTTCTGCGCTCTAAGCACGGTCCTGGAGAGAGTGAAAGCTGAGGGCATCCTAGATGTCTTCCAGACGGTCAAGAGCCTGAGACTGCAGAGACCGCACATGGTCCAAACACTGGTGAGTCTGTGTTGATCTCACGTGGTGCAGACACTGGTGAGTCTGTGTTGACCTCACGTGGTGCAGACACTGGTGAGCCTGTGTTGACCTCACGTGGTGCAGACACTGGTGAGCCTGTGTTGACCTCACGTGGTGCAGACACTGGTGAATCTGTGTTGACCACGCAGGGCTGTAATCCAAGCTTCTCCCTCATTCTGTACCTCGGTGCTTCTGTATATTGCTCTGTGGTCACAATGATTCCCAACAAAAAGTCTTCACTGGCATAATAACGTGCTTAAAGTTACTAAACTCCTTTTTTGAGCCTTAGGTCAGTAAGTAGTAAAGTAAATTATTAAGTGATGAAATGCAGCTCTTAAGGACTGTCCATGCCACAGCAGCTGTCTTATAAAAGAGAGAAGTACTTTTCCTGTTTCTTGCTTGATATTTTAAGTAATGTGTGCAGTTTCACAATACCTGCAATACTTTTTGCTGTTATAAATATGAACTTTTATTAACACATTTATTTTGTTTCTGTATGACATTACTAACTACTGACTAAAAATGTTTTAATTGCATTCCAGTATGAACATTTAATAGTTATGAACTTTTTCTCGTTGTGGTTCTTCAGTCTGTTTAATATCAATATCCTCTTGCCATGAGTATTGCCATAGTTGCTGGCATGGCGCTATGCATCAGTGTAACTAACTGGAATCCGATATATCAGTTAACTCGACAGATTAAATTTGCTAAGAATTATCTCGCATACATTTCTAATATAATTAATTAGTGAAGTGAGGATAGTGCAGCGGTTTAACACCTACTGAGTGACACCTTATCCTGCATTAATTTCAGGAAAAATTAGTCATGATGGTGTATGAGACTTAAATTTCTTCAGGGTAAAGTAAGCTGACTCTGTGCTGCTTTTGGAGTGTATTAATATACATTTAAAAAAAGATTTAGCCTGTTATATCCAGACACCACCACATAAAGCTTCACACCTGGAACTGCACAGCCATTCTTAGATAGTGATGGAGTTAGATAGTGATGGAGTTAGATGGGACGGAGTTGGCGGTGTGGTGCCCCCACATATCACCGTCCTCCTCTCTTTGTGTCGCCGGTCTACAGGAGCAGTATGAGTTCTGTTACAAAGTGGTCCAGGAGTACATCGATGCCTTTTCCGACTATGCCAACTTCAAGTAGGACGCGGAGCTCACAGACGGCCAGGTGGACGCCATGGACACTGGCTGCACACGGCCTGGGCGCGCCGGCTCACCACAGGGGGGCGTGTGTCTGGAACAGAGACTGAGCTGTTGGTGTGGGCTTGGGGAGGCAAGTGGAGGGCGTCTGCCTTGGCGAAGCTATGCTGGTTAGTGTGGACGTTCTGGACGTTCTGCCCGCCACGTTTGCTGTACATAAGGCTGGCTCTGCGTTTCATGTTTGTTTAGTTTTGGCCGGTCTGTGCAGGCAGACTGCAGTTTTACCCATTTGAGCATCTGTTTTTACAGTGTCTTGTTCTTGATGTGTTGTTTGTGTGTGTGTGTGTGTGTGTGTGTGTGTGTGTGTGTGTGCGCATGTGTCTGGGTCACTGAGTGGCTGTGAGATGGGATATTTGTTGTTTATGTGCCAAAAATAAGACCAAATGAAGCAAACTGCCCTTTTTAAGGGGTTATATCTATGTTATTGTACACAGGTAAAAAAAAAAAACACACACACACACAGGATTCCAAATGAGTAAGTGAATCCACTGGACCAGCAACTGTCAGTTTTGCCAACCATTGTCACCACCTTAATAAATATGCTCTTTAATGGAAATCATAACTTTTTCCGACACTTTCCAAAAAATAGGAAATAAGTCTTTCTTTAAAAAGTGGGAGTTCTGGTGTGGCTCTGACCAATTTCCTAGCAGCAGCTTGGATGCTTTTGGGCATGGAAAGGGTGTAGGTATGGATAGTCATTCGGTGGGGGGGGCATTCAGATTAGTTTTACAGCTAATGTATACCGTATGGCAGGGTAGCTGTGCTGTTGTGGGGAAAAAAAGTTTTAAGAGTGTCAGGTTTTTATGTCATCAATTTGGG